CCATGTAAACATGAAGGAGGTAAAGTCTCCATCTTTCTTTAAGGCTGCATAATATTCCATGGTATACATATACCACAATTCATTGATCCATTCGTGGGTCGATGGGCACTTGGGTTTCTTCCATGATTTAGCAATTATGAATTGGGCTGCAATAAAGGGTGTCTATATTCTTCTTCTTTATTATTATTATTTTTTTTTTTTGCAGTTTTTGGCCAGGGCCGGCTATGAATCTGCCACCTCTGGCATATGGGGCCAGCGCCCTACTCCTTTGAGCCACAGGCGCTGCCCAGGTGTCTATATTCTGTACTGGCATCAAGTCTGGATATCTCAGCCCCCAAAAGGGCTGGATTCTTACTTTTTGTCTTATATGCACTGTATCAAAAGTAGAGATGGTGGGAAAAGCAATGTATTCTTTATGCATTTGTTTCCAAAAGAAAACAGGAAAAAAATGAAAATTTGATATATTTTTTAAAAATCACTAACTGGTATCTGTGGTCACTTCTTCTGAATCCACTTGAGGAAACAGGGGTCTATGCACTTGGTGATAGCACAGCGCATCCAAAACCTGACACCAAGTTTTACATTCTGTCCTTCACTTTAAAACTACTGATATAATGGTGTCTCAGAGAGGCCCTAAAGCTCTTTTCCTGAGTTTTTGTCACTAGTGCCCACATTACTCTACTTACACATCAGAAAGAGCCAACTCTGTGCCCTGTGATCCTAGCACTCTGGAATGCTGAGATGGGTGCATTGCCTGTGAGCTCAGGAGTTCATGGGGATCCCATGTTGTCCCAGCTACTAGGGAGGCTAAGGCACGAGGATCACCAGAGCCTAAGAGTTTGAAGTTTCTATGAGCTGTGACACCACAGCATTCTACCCTGCCCAATGGAGTGAGATTCTGTCTCAAAAAAAAAAAAAAATCAGAAAGGGCTTAAGATAACTGTTCACATTTGTTGCTACATAACAAAGCACCCCCAAGGCTTAGCAACTTATAACAAGTACTTTTTCTTAAATCTTTCCAACTTTTGGACTGGTGTTCTTGAGTTTGGAGCAGGCAGGAGTCAGCTGGAGTGAAGTCTGAGCCCTCTGTCCCGGGAAGGCATCTCCTCTCCTTACAGTATCTGCACTGTGGCCTCACCACCTTGCTAACAGGTAACTGGACTCTTTACACAGGAGTGAGGTGTCCCAACAGCACAAGAAACAGAAGCTGCTGGCCTTCTTTCAAGTTGATAGGGAAGCTCATAGCATCACTTCTACTACTTTCTGTTGAGTTAGACTAGGGAATCCAGCCCAGATTAAGTGTGGGAGGGAATTATACATGGATATGAATACCTAAGTAAGGACAGTGGGGTGGGGGCTGATCTTGGGGACTAGTGTCACCACCACAGCTACACAAAAGATCATTTTTCATCTTAGCGGGGCATTGAGTTTCTTCTACACTTTGAGAGAGGGACATGCTACTCCCCATGTTCCTTGATTCACATGTCACAGGAAGGGGGAACCCAATTATATGGGAGGGCTGTTGAAATGTTCCTTTGTGGCTCGGCGCCTGTGGCTCAAGCGGCTAAGGCGCCAGCCACATGCACCTAAGGTGGCAGGTTTGAATCCCCAGCCCGGGCCTGCCAAACAACAATGATGGCTGCAACCAAAAAATGGCCAGGCGTTGTG